GATCTTCCGTTTAGCTGTGGAATCCCCATATCCGGCAAAACGTTGGGATTTATGGAACTCTATGTGGTGTCCTGTAGCGACAAAATTTTTTAAATTGATGAGCAACTAATAGGACAAGAAAATTTCCTGGTAAGTTTTGATCTAGTACACGATGTGCACGAATATACCGAATATGAGGACTTCATAGCTAAGAGGAAATCAGGGAGTCGACTGAAATTAATCAGTCGAAAACCCTGACTAAGATGAACTAATGTAGGAAACTAAGTAAGGAAACTAGCGATAGGAGAAGGGAAGGGAAGAGAAGGGAACAGGAAGAGCCACTGGGTAAGAGTAGAAGACCTGACTAAGCTGATCCGGTTTTGGACCTAAAATTGCTAACCAACTGGTGAGTGTTGCATACACACACGAATACGCATCCACGAAGCTATAACAAGCCCCATAATTACAGGATCATACACAGGTTTAGTTACATAGAAAAAACTTATGACTACATCCACTCCTCTCCCTGCACCACTTTGACTCGTTTACATTCATGTAGGAGAAGCATAAACTAGCCAGCCAAATAATTGAACGCCTCATTACAATCACAAAGTGAGGTATAAGAAGTAAGTAGGATCTCAGCGGGCCACTTTTCTTGGTTTCGTGTTTTAGTGATTTTTTGTGAATAATGGCTTCTGGCTCTAACGATGTCCGTCACCTGACACACGAAAACTCAGCATAAAGTCCTCAGGGTTGTAAGACGGTGAGCCGAGGTTTTCTTCCCACAGTTCAACATTATTTTCTGTATAAAAGTAAAGTTTCTTACATGAAATAGGGTGAATATATCTCATATAAATGATTGAGCTTGAACTTCAGTAGGTCTTCTCTTCCCTAGTGTCTTCAGCTTTGACCTATTCTTAATTTAGTCTGCATCTCCAATGAAGTGCATACCGTGTACGTTAGTTCTTGAGGTAAAAACATTAACTCCCGAACTAAACCACCTTAACATCATTCGGTTACAAGACAGGCATGATGAAATTTTAGATAGAAATGTTCATTCTAAAATGGCATGTGCTTAGTAATCAAGCAGTCCTCTAGTCGTATGATTGGTGGGTTTGCAACCTTATTTCTGAATTTACACGTCAGTTGCCAGGACATAACTATTTTGTCGTTAGATGGTTATTTAACTACCTTGTAATTGTAGCACAATGTAAGTGATATTTTTGTTATTAATATCACTCTTTGAATAATCTAATAAATGTAATGCCCCTTGTTTCAAAATCACGCAAAGTTGAATATATGAATAAAATATTAAATAAACATGGGGGTAGTTACAGTTAAATCTCTCTCATAATGGATACAAGGCAATCTAATACTTCTACTTATCGATATCTAACTGTCCTTTTTTAATTGTTCAAAGTAGACTTAAAAGTTTATTTTGCAAACATGTGGTCCCTCTTTTTCATGTCCTACTGCACACGAAGGAGTACAGCTGCATCCTTGATCTGATGCGAGACATCATCTTGGCAACTGATCTGGCACAACATTTGCTTCTTTTACCGCGTCTAGAGACAATGGCCAGGCAAGGCTACCAAGCCAATAACTCTGAGCACCACCACTTGCTGCTATGCTTGTTGATGACCGCGGCGGACCTCAGTGACCAGACAAAGAGCTGGAGAAACGTCAGACACGTAGCTCATCTGATCTACGATGAATTCTTCGGTCAGGGTGACCTGGAAAAAGAGTTAGGCAGACAACCGAGCGTGCACATGGACCGCGAAAAGGCCTGCGTGCCTGACTTGCAAATCAGCTTTATAGACTATATTGCCATTCCGTTGTACAGGTAGTCTTATAGCTGGCTGAGCTTTCCTCAATTCAAACTAATTTTAATGAACGGTAAAAAAGTTATATCATCTTTACCAAAATTGATTTTATAGGAGATTCTAGATTTAGATCAGGCTGGATGCTAATTTTCATAAGGAATCTATCATCAAGATCAATATTAATGAACTAGCCGTAAATAAGCAAGGCATTTTAAATAATTATTTATTCCGATGCATTTAACCCTGTCGTTTACCTAAACTGTCGAGTTTCGGTCTCCCATGAGATTTCCCCTGTTTATAGTATGCTATGGAACCAGGTTTCTTAACTTGAGTAATAGAAACTCGAATGAAAGGGAAAATTAAACTAAGCTTAGGAACAGGATGATAAATCAAAATTAAAACAATCATTAATTTGCTATCTAATTGAGTAATATAGTTTCAATACGCAAAATGTTCAGTTTACACATTTATATTTGCTTCATGACCTGACTCTTTTGTGAATGTAAATGCTATGATATCAGATATTAACAGTGAATGGAAATTAGTCCTGGTTCTCAGAGTTACTTATCCCGAGGAATCAGGTGAGGAAAGGCGGTGCGGTCACGATGTGAAGTAGGAAATTGTGTAGTTTAAAGATGAGACGCCGTCCTATGGAAGTGACAATTCTTAGTCTCCGTGTCAACAAAATCCTAGCTCTAAATACATCCGGCTTAATTAGAGGCAGTTAATGAAGCCCATGTTTGAGTTTGATAACATAAGAGGCAAAAATACGGAAGATCAAAAGAAAGTATTGTATAGGAAAGTTAGCTGACAAACTTGATGACTGAGACCATACCAGGAACTTGGTAGCCTTAGGCAGCATAAGATATGAAATTTATAATAGAATTTTCCTCCAATAAACGGAATAAACCTCACGAGGTCATTAAATTTCGCGTAGTCTTAACTCCAAACAGGTTTTTTGTCCAGGGTGGGTTGTAGTTTCGATCTCGTCATCAATAGACTTTATCAACAGACCCAATGAAAGTGAAAACCCAATTGCGTGCATTAAGTGTCAGTGTTATGAGTCAGCCACGCAACCACGGGCTCTTTATCATCGTGTGCATCCTAAGGTAAATTACTTCTTATTCTTAGATCCACTTATAGTCCCAGTTAGCACCAGGTAGTGCTGTCTATTTATTAGCAAATAGAATCTTCTTACTCGACATTAATATCACTATAAATATGAAGACTAAGATGCG